TGTCTATATTGATCAAAACATGGTTTGGATTTGTAGTGATCAAAAAGAGTCTTTCATCGTGTTGGATTTGATTATCTTGAGTTTTTTTTTTTTTTTTTTTGGATTTTTGCAGTGGTGACATGCTCGACCATCATGATTACGAGTTGTCGGAAAAATTGCATGAAGTGCTCGATCAGAACGTTTCCACAGTACTTAACAAAGATCAAAACATCATTTCTAGAAATGAGTTTCACGATTTAGATCCCCTTAAAGACATAAACTTATGGGATTGTTGGGAGGATGATAATTTACCATTGGTTAGTTTCAGTGAAGACTGTAAATCCGGTGGTGAGGCTACATGTAGTTCTAGTGCTGCCACCACTGATCACGGTGGCCGGAAGGTGGCAAAGAGATTGAGACCATTGGAGTTTGAAGAGATAGCGAAGTACTTTGAGATGCTGATAATCATGGCGGCAAAGGAACTAGGGATAGGGTTAACATTGTTGAAGAAAAGATGCAGAGAGCTAAACATAAACAGATGGCCTCATAGAAAACTTACGAGCCTACAGTCCCTCATTCAAAATGCCAAGGTAAATTACGATAATAACCTTCTATACATTACTCATGCATGCATGCCTGCACTTGGTAACCAAAGTAGTTTTGCTACGATTTCCTGATTTATATTTATATAAACTTAACTCATTGTAAATTTTGTGAACTCACACGAAAAATATATTGCATCTACCTTTTTTAAAAAAAAAAAAACTAGGAGTTGAGATTAAAGGAGGAGATAGAGACGTTAGAAGGGCACAAGAAGATGATGGAGAAATTGCCAGGTATGGAATTGACAGAAAGAACAAAGAAGCTTAGGCAAGCTTGCTTCAAAGCTATTTATAAGAAGAGAGGACTTAACAATCCTTAGTCCTTACCTTTTCTTTTAGCCATTTTGTTATAATTAGTGGATTTTAATCTACATTGTATGTGTTTTTCTCTTGATAGTTTGATACCCTTTTTAGTTTCATTGTGTTTGTTTGTCTATTGATTTTTTTATGCAGAAAATTTTGTATAATTTAGGTATTATAGTTTGTATTATGTATTTAGCCATATTCTAGATTGCCGACACGACTACGCCGACGACTCTATACTAGAGGTCTATATAAATAGACTTATGAATTTAGTAGGAATAACTTGATTATAATCTTGTGATTTGTTCCATGTCTGATCCACTCTTAAGATTCACTCGACATGCCCCCAGTTACGTGTAATTAAAATTTTATTAGACTGTTGATCCTAATGAGTCTACCCTAAGTCCACAACCAAACAAGGAACAAGTCAACTACGAGAAACACGCATATGGACTTGTGAGTTATTTGTAAATTGATTATGGAAATAAAGTTTTTAGACATTGTTGGGTAAAATAATTGTAAAACACTTGTTGGGCCATGGTTAGGAGTGTTGGGCACCTTTTGGGCTTTCCATGGTTACTAAATGTGAAACATGTAGCACTTGCGTGGGCCCCCACAAAACTAAGTTTTCACATTTCTTTCCCACTTCTAGGCCCATTAGGGAACTTAATAGTCCAATGAGTTGGCCATTTTGGAGTGTATCCTTTCAGATACGTTTGATAAGCTCGGGTATTTTGATGGCTCAAAAGTAATGTGAATGACGCGCTTTGGCCTATAGGTTTGGGAACTCTCGCCTTTGGTCCCCAGATAAGCAAACTGGTCCCTCGGTTGATTGGGATGTATACGAATGCTTACCTAGTCAGGACTTTCGGGCTACCGGCACCTCCCCCTTCCAGTTACTACGCGTCCATTACTATGATCCTACCCAACTAGAGTGGATGACTTTGAATTTCCTATGAGCTCTAAGGAATACATATATGTATATACATTTTGTTAAACAACTTGAGTATGTGTGTGATTTTCAGAGAAAGTGGAGAATATTCACAAGTGTATGCACACATATAAGTGTCAGGAGTAATACGTATGCACATAAGGGAGCAATTAACACACAAAGGTATTCCTAGGATTTTCTAAGTGTGAATTGCATGCAGTTGTGTGTGCATTTTATAAACTAGCATACGAGAGGACCCTAGAGGCTATAGACTATGTCAAGGCAATTAACCTAATTCCCTATAGTCAAGGGCTCTGATACCAATCTGTCACACCCCGATCCTTGTCGGAATCGATCGAGGCGTGATAAATTGTTCAAAGTCTCATGACAACTATGTTATAATATGATTAGATTCAATTAAGTACTAAGTATGCAAACAAGATACAAATACAAATCCAAATACGAACAACATTTATTACATCAAATTTAAATAGTCTTGTGGATTTCTAAGGCACAACCTATTTTTCATCAACTTCATTCTTCAAATCTGCATCATGGGTAAAAACAGGTCAACTACGAGAGTTGGTGAGTAATCTAATTTTAGTAGAGAAAATTGTGAAGTTGAAACCTTTATAATTGGAAATTTGTTTTCTTTTGAAGTCGGCAAACAATTGTATTTGAGATAACGGTTTATAAATCAAAAATTGATTAACAAATGATAACAACAACAATAAGTCCTCACCCTATATATACATATGTATATATATATATATATATATATATTATATATATATATATAAATATATATAGGATGGAGCATCTAATCATCATACACACTCAACCACGTGCGATCAATCACCTTAGCGTCCCAAGGCGGGGTGGTCAACCCATAGCGCTATTATTGTCCATAACGTACCTCAAGAATACGGGCATAGTCATGGAGATTAGACTAAAAATGATAATGCACTACAAGTACATGTAGCGTAAACAAACAATAGTTATACAATTAATGACTCACGTATAAATGTCCTAACAATGTCTCAATTGTGTTAAAACAATAAAATGAAGTTTGAATATATTAGAACCACATGATACACCCCAAAAGTATTGAAAATTATAAAGTATGGGGTAGATTACTCACCTTAGTCCCAAAACGAAATGCGTGTGTCGTACGATAGACGGTTCGGGTCAAAATGGCGTAGAACCTAATATAATTAATAGTTTTGGTTTAGGAACTGCTAAACGAGAATAGAGTACTAATACAAATAATTAGACACATATTCTTATATTAGATGAATTAACAATAATTCATTTTGATTATAATATTAAGGTATTCATTTGTTAAATGAAATTTAAATTGAATTAATTACTTTGCATAATTAATTTATATTTTCAATTTAGGTCAGATTTTAATAATTTCTTATTAAAATAATAACTTGCCCAATTATAATTATTTACAGATTTTAACAATTATTTATATGAAATAATCATTAAAATGCATTTTTACATGCTTAAATACTTAGGAAAATGGTTTTAAATAGTACACAGTATTGAAAAATTATGAAATTATTAGGAAATCATTATTCCATACAATATTAATTACTGTAAAAATTTTATATTTTTCTGAACTGTTTTAGTATTTATTTAATACTTTAATGATTAAACAACAACAAAATTCGGGAAAAATAATAAATGATTCCCAAAAATTCTGTAAAATTAACCATAGTTTTATAACATGATATAGAGCCCAGTGTATAAGTGTCGGATATTTGTGACTATGTGAAGTATTTTTTATATATTTCATTATTAATTAATCAATAAAATCATAAATAATAGTAAACAGTAATATAAATGCATGAAACTTCATAAATTATGTTTAATCAATATATTGGTCATCCCAGAATTTTCTCAGAATTTATTGAATGCAAAAGTATTTTATGTGAATTATTGCCCTACTTTATTGCAATAATTATAGTAATTCAATAAAAATAAGTTATTTTCTGAAAATTTCCAGAACTTCTTATTTTATTGATGGGATTCTGAGAAAAATCAGGTTTATGTATAAAACGAGTTTTAGATATTTTGGTGGATTTAATTTGTTTCTTGTATGAATATGAAACTTTTAACAACATACATTGATGAATGCTTCAAGAGGGATGGAGATTTGAGTATAATACATTGTTCTTGGCTGGAATATGAGTATTTCTTGGATGAATTTCGAGATTGAGAGTGAGAGAAAGAATAGAGAAGGTTTAAGTGGTGAAGAGAATAATGTGTTGGGAGAAAAAGGAAAGGAAAGTGGATGGGAGGTGTGAGTGGGAGACCATGGGAATAATCTTTTTGCTTTTGGTGGTCTTCATAATTTCCCACTAACACAAGCATCTTTTACATAATTAATATAAGAGTTTTATAAAATTTAATGTAAAGTTTATAAAATAGAGTTTTATAAAATTTAATGTAAAGTTTATAAAAATGGAGTTTTATAAAAGATGAGTTATTATTTGATTATAACAATCTACTTTGATTTGAAGTTTAATTATAGCATTCAAATTTGATTCTTTTAAATTTAATTAGAGCATTATACTTTGATTTGATTTTAATATGGTATCATAATTTAATTTGATTATAGTTATAACGTTGTACTATACTATGTTGCTATTAACGTCAATTTATATCGTAGTGTATGGGTTTTGATCCTATTAGCGTCAAGTAATCTTGAGTAGGGTTTGAATGAGATTGAGAGAGGTTTCGTTTGTGATCTTTTTGAGTGTCCGGCTTCGCAACGCAAGGTCCATAGACCCCGTTAAGCCATGATTTAGTGTCCTACACAATCCCGATGATTGTGCAATAGTGTTTTATCGCTTTGGTTCATTGTTTAGCACTGTTAAGGCTAAGGAAAATCAAACACATGAACTTTCCAAATGATGTTTTCTCATTAAAATAGCGAATTGTACAGTGATTACATAACGTAAACCCTATCATACAAGGGTTAATGGAGTTGACCGGTTTGACTAGTTGACTTTGTTTGACTTTGACTTGACCGAAATTTGATGGTTGTCACACCTAGCACTCCAATCAAATTCATATCCATGTCGAGTTTATCAAGTGATATTCTCCCCGTTATGTGATCTATACATCTAAAAATATATCATACATTTAAGTGTGTTCTTCTACACAAAAATTTACTAGTAATCTTCATCGCCATAATCATTTCTGGATCTAAAGAGCCTTCTAACGATAGATGCCGCAACACCAAGAAGCATAAACAACACCAAGGTATTAAACCCACCGCCGACTCCCATAGCCACACTAGGCCCAGGTGTAAAGAATGAAAATGACGACCACCCCCAACCACCATACCCATAATCGTATCCACCGATCAGCGGTGGTGCAACCGGTGGGTTGATGTAAATATTGGTTCTGCCACCACACAAATAAACATCAAATCACTTTGATATAGAGAATATATAACCACATGAAATTACCTTGAGTTATTGATTCTTGGTGAAGATGAATGAGGTGTTGATTGATTTGGGGCAGAACGAAACGCCTGACCACCGGCACGGCCTCCGGATTTTGCTGCGAAAGCTGGATCGATTGATCCAAATGTTAAGACCCCAGTTGTCATTGTTACCAAAGCAAGCTTCGCCAGTTTATTGTTGTCATTAACTCTGAAGGTTCATGATTTCCCACATACAAAAACTATCAAAATAAACAAAATTAAAGTGTAATCGAAGTGTTGAGTAATTGAAATTCGAGATTACCTTGATGAAGATGACTTCGTGGGGTTTTGTGATAGAGATTTGGGGGATTTTTTTACCAATCAAATTCCTACCTCACCCTCTCTCTCTCTCTTCTCGCCAAATCTGTAACGAGGTATGGGTGGCGACCCCTCTAGCGAGAGATAGGGCGGTGTTCATGGATCGTTGGCAAGCATAACGAGTGAGTTTGACACCTGTAACAACCACAAAATTCATGAAAATTTTAAACTTTTAAAGTCAATCCACAAATCATCATTGTTTACAATTTAGTTTTTCAAAACATGTTTATATTAGAGTTTTCCCAAAATCATAAATCAAAACGCGAGGAGGTGCACGATCACGCCTTCACCTTCCCACGATCATCAAAGGTACATGAAACATAACCCAAAACTGTAAGACCAAAGCTTAGTGAATTTCTCCCAAAGTACCAACACAACACATAATCAATAATAATAACAACAAACAACATGCATACAGAGCCTTCAGTCTGACTAAAACGCCCCACCGGCCTACAGTCTATCTGGTATGCTCACAGAACCTTTAGCATGACTGGTAAGCCTCACCGGGCCTTCAGCCTATCTGGAACGTTCTCCCGGCCTTCGGCCTGACTGGTACGCCCTACTGGCTTGCAGTCTATCCTGGACGCCCTGGGTCTCTTGGCCTTGAGCACATAGCAGTACCCCCTCAACCCAACATACCATCATATATCAACATATACCATATCAAACCCTAGCTAGCATATACATACAGTCATACATATCTAACAGATCACTAAGCATAGCATCATCCTATATACCAGGATACAAATCTAACAGATCACTACAACATACAAGCATGCGATAAACCATGATAACAATCCAAAGGGGCCGACCTTGGTGCCTTCGACCCAAAAGTACAATGAGGAAAACTCACCTCGCAAACTGAACAGAACTGATGAGGTCTGAGTCCCAATCTCAGCTCTCTAACCGATACCTATTTCCACCAAGTGATCAATTCCATCAAAAATACCCAAAATACCCTCAAGGTTAAACTTGGTCAAAGTCAACTGGTCAACCCACTAAGTAAACTGAGTCAACCCAGTCGAGTCAACTCAACAAGGTTGACCCATGCGAGTACGCGGGGCGTACTCCGGAGGTACGCTTAGCATATGCGAAGCCTCGCATAAGCAAGCAATTCAATATAAATAAAAACATAGGGAGAAGATGTTGGATTAGTGTCTAAGTCCATAACTATTTTGGTATGTACTTGACCCGATTGTGAGCATGGTCCTTTTGGGTTGCCTTCACCATAGCAATATGTAGGATGAATTAAGGAGAGAAAGGTTTAATTATGATTTATTAATATATTATAAGAATAATATATTAAAGGATAAATCATATTGGTTAATTAATATTAGTCAAGAATTAATTAAGAATTAATTTTGTGACTAAAAGAGATTAATTAAACTTAGGGGACTGGAATTGTAATTATAGGATAATTACAAGTGGGCTATGGATCACCTTGGAATAATAGGTTGGACGAATTCTATGGGGAAGCCCATTAGAAATCGTCCAAGGCATGTTCCAGAAGGGGTCCATGGGCTGCTTAGGGCTTAAGCAGTCAAATTAGGGTTTCCTTGTTGGATAACCCTAATAACCTAAGTATATAAGGAACCCTTGGGCACCAAAAACATGGCTAACACTTGGATTAGGGTTTCCAGCCGTTTTTGGTGTCTCCTCTCTCTTCTCTCCTTCATACAATTGCTTAGTGGTGTTTGTGACTCCATTAGAGGTGCAACACTTGAGGCACTAAGCTTTCTGAAGCCAAGGATTGATTGTTATTGCTATATAACAATCAAAGGTTAGATCTAAACCATATTTTATGTTAATATGATTAATTGTATGCTAGATCTAGGGTTTATAGCTTTGGATATTCAATTGCATGTTTATTAGACAAACTAGATCTAAAAGCTATTAGGGTTTGCATGTACACCACAGGAATGATGTATTGCTCGAAACCGATCAGTGGTATCAGAGCCTAGGGCTGTTTGTTAGTGAATTTGATGCTTGTTTGATCGATTTTTGCATGAAAAACGAAGTTTTTTGCCTTCTGAATCTCCGACTCGGCGAGTCAGTGGATGAACTCGGCGAGTCAGGCCGACTCGGCGAGTCCAGTCCTTGACTCGGCGAGTCCATGGATCTGGCAGCGTTTTTTTGGCGATTTTGTTGCTGTTTTGGCTTGGGATACTTACCATAAACATTTTTAATTCATAAAATCCGATTTTTATTGATATTGGGTGATTATCGTTACCAAAATAGAAGATAATTGTCAAAATTTAGATAATCTTTTGTTTTATTAGATAAAGATTGATTATTTGTAATTTAGATTTGAATTATCTTGTGAAAAAGTTTCAATTTTTCCCCTTTAGGTTTTGTAGTTTAAATTTGAACTTAAAAGTTTTGTTTTTGAAATTTGAATAGTTAAACCCTAATGTTTTGAAATGTTTCAAAACTTGCCCTCAAGTTTTGGAATTTAAAAGTTGATTAAAAGTTTAATTTTGAAATGTTAAATTCTAAAACCCTCGTATTTTTGAAAAGTTCAAATTACACCCTTATGGTTTTGTTAATTAATTAAAGTGTATAATTAAAAGAGAGTTAATAAATCCATAAAGTTTTGGTTTACATTTAATTAAATTAAAAGTATAATTAATTAAATTAGACCACCTAGTATTTTAAAAGTTTAAAATACACGCTATACTATGTATATATGACATTAAAAGTCTAATATTATATATGTATAAGTAAACAGTCAGTCTTACCGTTAGTAGGCCTCATTCACGAAGCTGGTCTATAAGGGGTGTTTAAGGAAATTGCCTATAAAATGGCGATTGAATGGGTATCCACTCTTACCCACCGCACTCTTGACTAGTGGAGGGTCGTTTGCCGAACGGGTAGGATAGGACGACACCTTCCATTATAAGTATAATGAAGTACAAAGTAACTACATGCTTTTACAAATTCCCAAACTCTAGTTACTTTAGGCAAAATGTGAAATTGTATGCTAATCCATGGAATTACACTTCGTACCCTTGTCAAACGTTAGTGGAGCGTGTGTGGTTAACCAGCACACTAATTTGGGATTGACATTGGTGGCGAAGGGTGGCTCGATGTTTATCATAGATCAATGGAGCGTGTGTGGCTAACCGGCACATTGATTAGGTGATAGTATCATTGAGTGCATCACGTGATTCGTATGGTTATTCACACCTTGTTTGTGATCCTCGGCATCCCAGTCGCAAACTTGAAGGGCATAATCGAGATTAAACATGCCATTGAAAAGTTCAATGAATCTCAAAAGATCTAGGAGTTTCAATTCATTTAAAACTTAAATTTCTTTTTCGTTTTTCATGGTGGAAATTGTTAAATCGTCATTTACCTACCTTCAAATATTCTACATCTAGATTACGGCATCCATCTTCTAGGTTGTAGAGTATTGTGTTGGATCATAGCCTTGATGTTTCATTTGGGTGTTGCATCAAGGATCCTTATCAACTAACTTGAATTTTCTCCCGTTTTGTAGATGTCTAAATCTTACAATGGTCTTCCCAAATCCATTGGAACAAGCTTTCCAAATGAAGATGACGTTCCAAGATACGATCAAGGAAATGAGAGTCATGCTTCACTTCCTCCACCTCCTCCAATTGTTCTCCCTGGCCCACAAGTTCAAAGGCTTGAAAAGTTCAAGCTCACCCAATCCCTATTGGCAAGTAAGCACGAAGATGGGAAACCTGTGTGCACACACGTCTTAGAGATGAAGTCACACATTGATAGGTTAAGGATGTTGGGTGTCGATATCTCAGAGATGTTGGCTGTTAACTGGGTTCTTCAGTCACTTCCTGATTCGTATAGTGAGTTCGTAAGAGAGTACTATGCGATGGTTCACGACGTGACCCTCATTGATTTGACCTATTTGCTTATTGCTGCTGAATCAGTGTTGATTTGGCGCACTGGTCAATCAAACTCCCATGCTTCATTGGACACTAGCTACATTGGAAGTCCAGAAAAGGCTGAGATTGTCCCTTGCTGTGTACCAAAGGAGTCCATTTGCTTTTACTGCCAAGAGAAGGGGCATTGGAGACGAAGCTGCCCTGTTTACCTGAGAGATCTAAGAGATGGGAGAGTCAAGACGTATGGCTCTAGTTCAGGTAAAATCCATTAACTAACTCTATAAGTTCCTATTTTTGGTTCTTAATACATGATGTGATAAGATTACATTTTGATGTTTTGCAGGATCGAAGAAAAGAAAGGAAACTTAAGGAAGAAGCGTGCTGAATCTGATCACGAAGAAATGGATTTCGATCGCATGGACTCAAAGATCGGATTTTTGAGTTGCTACTTTAGAGTTAGGGTAGATTTCTAAGAAATATGTAATAGCATAGTTTTTCAGTTGAATTGCATTGTAAGGACAAAGTTTTTCCGCAATAAAATAAAATTTGTTTTTGTCTTATTTATTTATCCTTGCAATGGCATGTATGAAAAAAATTGATGTTTAAATGTTTCTTCTATTAGCAATAATGGATTTGATTCTTAATTGTGTTATTTGTGGAATTGTCGAGAATTTACCAAATAGGGAGAGTTTCTCATCACCCAAGTTTCAATTGGACAGAAACTTGGAATCATGCAACCTGCATTGTGTGATGAATGAGAAACTTCATATTTGAAAATTAGACTAATTCCTCGACAAAGTGTCAAGTGAAGGACTAAGAGATCGAGTACATTAGGTTGTGCGTCGATCAAGTCCACCACAAGAGTAATAAAGATATTCGTCATGATTTACTAAAGTTTAGTAAATATGGTTATACTTATAAGATTGAGTATAATTTTGAGTT